GACAGGCGTTCCCAAGCCCTGAGGAGGCAGAGCCCGCAGCCAGGGACCTCCTGCCCACCCCACCCTCTCCTCCCCGCCCTGCAGGCTGGGGGCTGGCTGGGGGCTCTGCGGCACCTGCTGTGCTCATTCAGCAATAACTGGGTCCTTCCACGGGGACCCGGTGCCCGCTGAGGGTACAGCAGCGGGCCGGGCGGGCGCCCAGGGCCCTGAGCCTGCTTCCGGTGGGAGAGACAGGTCAGGAACTTAGACGTGGCCACGCCAGGTGCCTTGGAGAAAAGAAAGGCGGGGGATGGAGGACGGGCAGGGCCACGAGAGAGGGAGGGAGATGGCCTTGGATCAGGTGATGCTGGCGAGACCTGGGGTAGGGGTGACCTGCAGGCAGCGGAAACAGCAGGGACAAAGGCCTGGAACGTGGCGCTGGGGAGGCCCCACGGGGCCCAGGTCTGCCAGTGGAAGGGTCTTTCCCACCCCGGACTCTCGCAGAGGGACGCAGCTGCGCTCCTGAGCGCTTGTCGGTGATGGCCAGCCAGGCACTGGCAGGCTCCGGGAAGGGTCTTGGGGATGGCACCGTGCCGTCACCTTTGGGGAGCTTGGTCTGGAGGCCTTGGATCCACAGGAGGGACTGGGCTTCTCCTGGGAGTGAGACGGGGGCTTGCGTCTGGAAAGGATCGCAGTGTGGAGGCGCACGGTGGGGCGGCCGGGCCGGGCTGTGGGAAGGGGGCCGGCTCCCGCCATCCCTCCAAGCTGCGTCCAGGGATGTGAGGCCTGCTCGAGCCTCCGTGGCATCACGTGCCCATGCGGGCGGACGGCAGTGGCTGTTCGGGCACCGCAGGCCCACGGCCAGGGCAGGAGGGAGGCGGTGAGCCCAGCAGTGGCCTCATTGCCCATGCACATCCGCCTCCCGTGCCCCTTTGTCCTGCCTCCTCCCTGCTGTCTAGGAAGTGGGGGGCTGCCCCTTTAAAAGGATACTGAGTGAGACCCGTGAGCCCTGGGCACATGGATGAGCCTCTCACCAGCCCCCGGGTTCTGCCCCAACTCATCTCTGTGCCCTGCTGGGCCTGGGTCAGCAGGTGTCCCCCCAGGTGGCCCTGGGCAGGCCACCTCCTGTCATCAAGCCTCATTTTCTCCTGTGCAAATCAGACCCAGGCTGGACAGCTTTGGGGGCCTGGTGTCCATGTTGGCCTGCCCCACCCCCGCCTGGCTGGGGGGAGCGGGGGTGTGCGGAGGGCAGGGGAGGCGGTGGCCTGGGACAGGTCTGAGGGCGTGGTCGATGGTGATGCACCGCCGGTCAGCTCTCCGCCGAGTGATCACAGCCAGGGTAGAGCTGGCTGGGTGCCAGGCTTCCGTGCGTCCCACCCCGCACCCGGACCCCCTCCCCAGCTGCCTGCGGCCCCAGTGGGAACCGGGGCTGCTTCCGTTGCTCAGTGCCTGGTGTAGACCCGCGAGTATTGCCTGCCTCCCACCTGAGAATGTCTAGTAACTTATTCCTCAGGGCAGACGGGAGGAAAGCCGAAGTGACCTTTGCCCTGTGACCATACAGAGGGCCCTGGGCTGTCCCTAGAGGAAGCCCCACCCTGCCTTGTAGGCACCGACCAACAGGGTGCCCCAGGGAGCTCCAGCTGGCAGATTGTGGGGTGCACCCCCCCAAGCCAGGCCCTGGTGTGCCCGGCTCTCCTGCCTGTCTCCGGCGGGTCTGGCCGAGTCGGCCCAAGGCATCCACCAGGCCGGGCCTTTGCTGGTCCCAGGCAGGGATCGAGGCTGGGCAGGTTCTGCAAAAATTTCCTTTGAAAGACTCTTTTTCAAGATTTCCTTTTGAAAACAAATGTATAACCACATCAAACAGGAATACCAGTTGCCTTGGGTGCGATCACCGTGCCGGGGCGCTCTAACGAGCTGTTATTCTAATTGCTTTTCTCTCTTCAAGAGCTGCGCGAGTCTCTTATGGTTATTAATTTGGTGAGTCGGGCAGGGCACAAGGCAGCTTTTGTTTGCCTTGCCCTTGTAATCACTATCAAATTGCAAATGACGGCCAGATCTGAGATCCCAAAATAGACCTGTCCCAGCAGCTCTTGGGGAACCTGCCCCAGTGCCCGGAGTGGGCACTGCCTTCCCCTGAGGAGAGCGGCCCCGCCCCTGGGCACCTGCCAGACGGGCCTCCCCTCCGCGGGGTTCTGGCCGGGGCCGCTCACTCGCCGGCCGAGGTACCCATCAGGCTCCCATCACCCCCAAATCCAAACCCAGGTGCGAGGTACAGGCACTCGGCGCTCAGAGCATGAAGGGCGGAGGTGGGGCAGGACGACCTCAGGACGTCTCTGCGACACGCTGCGGCCAGCGCCGAGAGCTGAGGCTGAGGAGGACCTGGGGCTGGCCAGGAGGACCCCGAACGTGGCCGGAGGCTTTGGAGTTAGCCATTTGGTCAGAGGCCCCCATCACACACCTTCTCTCCTGGCCTTCCCAGACTCGCCCTCCCCGAGTGAGGAGGGCGTGGCCACGCCAGGCCCTGGACCGTGGGCCTGCTCCGGGATTCTGGCCGCCATCCTGGCGCGCCCTGGGCCCTCTGCCTCCAGCAGCCTGGATAATGGGAGCACGTCCTTGGAACCGGAGACCCCCATGAGCCCCTCAAATCCCCAGGGGCCATAGGCAGCAGCCAGAATAAGTTCGGGGACCAGAGCAGGGCAGGGGCTGGTGCTGGCCTGGGTGGCTTCAGAGATACACTACAGTGTCCCCCAGACACGAGCTCGGCCCTGTGGCCACCTCCTCCCGCTCTGCAGCAGGAGGCTGGGCACCACGCAGCGCTGGGCTCCCCGCCAGAAGTGTCACCCAGGTGGCTCAGGACAGGGCCCTTCCCCGGCCACACCCACGGCCCCATGCCCCGCCCACGGCCCCATGCCCCGCCCATAGCCAGCCAGCCCGGCTTCTTTACCCAGGAATTCCCGACGAAGGAATGCAAGCCCTTTAGCACGTGTGGGGCTTCACAGATGTTCCAGCACAGGAAAGTGAAAATTTATGAAACCACGAATTATCGTCTGTGATGGATTCAGTGCTTTCACTAATGCCAAACCAGTCGATAGCAAGCATAGTTAGAGTGACATTAAGCCACGTGGGACCAGCCTCGCTAACCCCACCAGCACGCGGGTGCCAGCAGCTGGTGGCCCCCAGAGGTCAAGCCCAGCTGCAGCTTCCATCTGCCACGTACTTTCAGGTCCCCAGGCCTCAGTTTCCCCAGGTGGACCCTGAAGCCTGGGTGACCTCCACCGTCCCCCAGGGCATGAGCAGGCAGTGGGACTGAGGGTGCTGGTGGTGCTGGCAGCAGGAGCCACTGGGGTCTGGTGTGCAGGTGGACGGAGGGGCGGGGCCTTCCCTTCACCGCAGCGCCATGGTCCCAGCATGGAGCCTGGGGTGCCGGGCTGCAGGGGGCAGGATGGCAGCCACAGCAGTCCCAGCCGGTGACCCTGACCAAGGCCCTTCTTCTCCTGGCCTCAGTGTCTGCATCAGTGGAGTGGGATGGAGGCCTCTTGGGTGGTCCCCAGATGGCTTTGCAGAGAGCTAAGGTGTTGGCAGGCACCTGGGTGGGGGAGCTGAGTGGGGGCCCCAGGCACCTACCTGGGCCAAACCGCAGACACCTGCACCCCTCTCCTGTACAGCCCGGGCTCCCACAGCAGGTTTGTCTGGGAAAAAAAAAGACTGGAACACCCTTGGCCTGGGCTATCAGGCCCCATGCATGCAGCCACCCCTGGTCCCAGGATGGGTGGGTCTCAGACTCAGCCCCGACACCTGGAAGATGGGCAGGCGGGGGGCCAGGGAGCCTCACCCTACAGCTGCCACCACTGGGGCTGGGGAGGTGGGTCCCTTGGGGTCCTCCGGGAAGGGCGAAGGCCCTGCCTCCTGGGTAGAGGGTGCCCACCTGGCCCTCCTAGGCCGCTGGGACAGGCATTCTGGCCCCACTCGGGGAAACCCCACCCCTCGACTCCGCCCTGCCTGGCCACCTCTCCCTTCCCCTCCCCTCTGCCCGGCCTCCGCGGTGGGAGGGCGGGCTGCTGACCACAGCACTGTCCTCTGGGCTGGCCGGGACCTGCCCGGGAACCTGGCAGACGGGTTGCTCGGCCTCGGCCAGCCCAGGATGTGCCCCCTTCACCCGCAGCGTCTTCCCTGGAGCCCTCTCCCCACGAGCCGACCCCCAGCTCCAGCCGGGCCACCCGGGCAGCCTGGGGCACGGACGTCTGCACCGTGGTGTGCGTCCCTGTGATCAGATGGCCACAGCTGGCGGCTGACACCCCGTCTGAGTCATCCGTGCGGCCACCCCGGCACGTGGCTTAGCACAGAACCGGCCCTCGATGAACTCGAGGTGGAGGCCACGCGGCTGGCCTGGGAGAGTGCTCTGGGCACTCCCCGCCCGCAGGAGCCAGGGCAGAGAGGGTCTGGGAAGACGGTGGTGTTCCTGCCAGGTCAGGGCAGTGGTGCCTGGGGGTCCCAGCAGAAAGCGCCTGGGGCCTCTGCCCGCTTCACCCTCCCACGTGCCAGCCCCACCACGCTCTGCCCTGCTCTGAGCACACGCAGCCCCGGCCTCCCTGGGCTCCTCACCCCAAAGTCCCCCGGGCCTGGCCCCAGGAAGCCGAAGTTTGCAGTAAACCCGACCCTTCGGGGTCCGGTCCCTGGTGCAGACTCTGTCACACCTGATGCCACTGGGAAGGCCTGGCCAGAGGCCACGGTGGGCAGCAAGCCTGGGAGTGTTGCCGAGGCACCTCCAGCCACCAGGTCGGGGGCTGAGAGCCAAGGAGAGAGGCCCTCCCCCACCCAGGGTCTCAGCACACAGGCCACATGCCCCGGTGGGCACACGTATGCACAGTCTGCACACAGGTGTGACTGGAGGCCTTGCACACGGGTGCACCCGTGTCCCACCCACACGTCCCTCCCGCAGGCCTCCCCGAGCACAGGCCCTGGGCCGTCTGCACACCTGGGCCGCCTCCCACCACCAGCTCACACCTGCTTTTGTCCCGCAGGTGACGCAGCTGGACCAGAGGCTGGTGCTCATCACGGACATGCTGCACCAGCTGCTCTCCCTGCACCGTGGCAGCCCCCCGGGCGGGGCCCCTGGCGGGGGTGGGGCCCCCACAGTCCGGCCCTGCGGCAGCGGCGGCACCATCAACCCCGAGCTCTTCCTGCCCAGCGGCTCCCTCCCGACCTACGAGCAGCTGACCGTGCCCCAAAGGGGCCCCGACGAGGGGTCCTGATGGGGGCTTGGCGGGGGGTGGAGAGGGTAGGCCCTCTCGGCGGGGGCCACCCACCTGGCCATGGCCACCTCCTGGAGGGCCGAGAGAGAGCAGCCCCATGTCCAAGGCCCCGCCCAGACCCCGTGGGCCACGCTGTCTGGCACAGCCTGAGCTTGGGGGTCCACCAAGGCCACCTCTTCCTGGCTGGGTGGTACTAGAAGTTGGCTGGGTGTGGGGCCCCTCTAAGGTCTGAGCTGTCACTCCTAGCGCCCGGCCCCCACAGCCTGAGGATGACATCACTTGTGTGGTGGTTGGGACACAGTGAGGGCTTCAGGGTGGCCTCCCAGGGCCCGGCATCCAGGGTGCCCAGCCCAGCCCGTGTTTGGCCAGGAAGCAGCACGGGCTGAGAGCAGGCCCACCCTGCTTGGCCCGGGGCTTCCCGAGGGGAGACAGAGGGACAAAGGCCGTCCTCAAATCCAGGCCCAGCCCAAGCCAACTAAAGCGAGGCTACGATGAATGTCCAGGAGCCACTCCGAGGGCCCTGGCTCCCTCCTCTCAAGAGACGCTGACCCTAGGAGCAGGGGACTGCGGGGCTGCCCCTGAGGCCACAGGTCCCAGTGAGGGACAGGTCACCGCTGCCCCAGGGCACGTCAGAGTGAAGGGTGTCCACCTCCCCTGCTTTGGACTGGCAGCTCCTCCCGCCATGCTGGAAAGGAGGGTCCCCCGAGCCCCGCCAGGTGTGCAGCCCCTGCTCCAGTTCCCAGTCCGAGCAGCTGGACAGACACCGGGGACACCACGTCCCCACCCACCCCCGGCCAGCTGCCGAGCTGAGAGGAGTCACAGTCTACACGGAACCGGGGTTCCTTCTGGGCATTATGTCTCATAGAAATCAGTAATTTGTGGTGATTTGGAATCTGTGTCAGGGAGTTTCACGGTGTGATTTTGGTTCTTAATCGTACAGTCTTTTCCTAATAAACACGGAGAATCACAGGTTGGTTGGTCTGGGCGCTAGTCTTGCCTTGAGTGCTGGGCACCAACCCCATCTTCGGGACAGCCCGGGGCTTGGCCTCTGCCCTCCCTGCCTACTTCTCCTGGCCCAGCTCCCTTCCCCAGAGGCCCTGCCCGGAGCAGCCCCAACCCCCAAGACCCCCTCGTGGACAGGACCCCTGGGTGCAGGTGGCCACCAGGCAGGAGCTGCTTGTCCGTGCTCTCAGGAGTGGGCCAGGATTCAAAGAGGTCGGAGGGGCTGCAAGAGGCCAGCAGAGGCTCCAGCCCACCTCCATGTCCCTCCTGGTTGGGGCTCTGGTGGCCCCAGGACTTCCCCTGGTGTGGCCCTGGCTACAGTGTATGGTCACATTGTGGTCACTGCCTGTCTCCAACAGACCCTGCGGCCCTGGGGCAGGGGGGCCCAGGTGGGGTTGTGGTGCTGGGGCAGCGTCCCCCAGGGACAGACTCAGCCTCTCCGTCACCCCCCAGGCCAGGCCCAGCCTCCAGGTCCCTGAGGCCTGGACATTTGGGGCTGCAGTGCCAGGAAGGGCTGGTGATCCTGGGGCCCCCATTTCCCCATCAGCAGCGAGATGCTCCTGAGCCCGTCCAGTCCCCTGGGTGGGGGGCGCATGCCAGGTGGGCGCCAGCCATCCCCCCTCGCTCTGCACCCATGGTTCTGTGCAGGCCTCCCTCCTGCACATGGAAACGCCACCCCAGCTCACAGGACAGACCCTCGGCGGGGACGGGGGTTTCGTCTGCTGTGCCCACACGCCACACAGCTGGCCGACTGTTTCTCATCCTTGAGACTGCATCCCTCCTGTCCTTCCTGAGCGCACCCCGAAATCACGCCCATCAGGGCTGGGGGCCTCCGAGATTTCAAGAACGAGGCTGTCCCAGGTCCACTGGAGGCAGCAGGCGCACGGCGGGGACAGGGATGCAGGTCTCCATGGGGAGTGGAGCGGGGACCCCGTCGGAGGGGCCCTGGCTCCCACCACAGGGCCTTGGCATCCCGTGGCCCGGCGCTGACCGCTGCAGGGGAGGGGAGGGGGCGGCACGGGCCTCCCGGCCCACACCTCGGGCGGGAGCAGCACTGCGCTGAAAGGCAGGAGCTGTTGTTTCCGTGTTGGGTAAATATTTGTGGAAACCCTGGGATGCGCGGGGAGAGCAGGGCCCTCCACAGCGCCCCGCCCCGCCTGGCCGCGGGGAGCTCCGCGGCGCCCTCCGGGCAGGGGCGGCCCCTGCGCCCGGCCGCGTGGCTGTACTATGGACTGCGACGCAGTGCGCGGGTCCCTCCCTCCTGCACGGGCCATTGCAGCCCTCTCGGGTGTGAAATGCAATTTACCTGAAATAAAGCCCAATTACGGAATTAGCTAATTAAAGCGCGGCGGAGGCTGGGCCTGGCCGCCGGGCGCTCGAGGCCCGCCGGTGCCCGCGGTCGGCGGGAACAGATGGCGCCCCGGCCCGCCGCCCCGGCCGCATTCCTTCACTCTGTCCCCCGATAAGTGACCTAGACAGCACACGACCATCTGGTGTGTGACACGTCCTGCGGGCCCCGGACAATGGCCCGGCAGACCTCTCCGCGAGAGGGCCGTCGCCCGGGCAACGGTGGCATGTGCAGCCCCGGCCCATTCAGGGCCCCCTCCCTCGGCCCCTTTCTTCGGGCTCTTTGTGGGCCCTGCCGCGGCTGCCTGCCCGCCGGGCGGACAATATCCATGAGTGTTTGTCCGCAGAGCCCGGCCTTTGTCTCCAAATTGGGCTCCCTTATTGAGGTCCTCGGTGTCCAGTGGGTGCCAGGAGCATCTGCTGGGGGGGCCACGGAGGGGGCCGCTCCTGCTCGCAGGGCACCCTCCTCCTCTGCCCTGCCGCCCCTGTGGCCTGCCCTCGGTGGCACCTTGCTGGCACTGGCTGGGTCCTGGCAAGCCAGTCTCTGGTGCTGGCGTCGGACAGCCAGGGGCTAGGGGCCCAGGAGGAAGAGGCGAGGGCGGAGAGGCCTGGGGCCCCTCACTACCCACCCCTCCCTGCTGTGGAATGGGGAACAGTGAAGGCACCCCTCGAAGGAGCGTGGTGGGGCGATTAGACATGCAAAGTCTGGGCCTCGGCCAGGCACATAGTAGGTGTTTAGTAAAAGAAACCAGACAAGCCACTTGGGGAGTGGCACTGGGCTCTGCCTCCTTGCTAAACCCCTGCCTGGCTGGCTTGACCCCTGGGAGCTCCTTCCAGGCCCCTCCTGCATTCAGCCTCACCCCTCCGAGCCCCCTGGCTCTCGGAGCCAGAGCGAGCTGTCCAACCCCAGCTGGCTGCTCCCTGTCCTGCTCCCAAACCAACTCTGGCTCCCCACTGCCTCACCCAAGCCAGCCTGTGAGGCCCCAGGGCGTCCCTCACCTGAGCCCAGTCTCCCTGCCAGGCCAACTTCCTCCCCGACCCTCTCCCTGCACCTGTGCCCCATGCTTCCCTCCCTCATCTCAGCAGGTGGCCCCCCGCCATAGAGGGGTCGGGCATAGTGCCCACCAGCCCACCACTGGGGGAGAGGCTGGAGCTAGGAGTGCCCGGCACAGGGCTGGCCCCAGCTGGGTGCTCAGGAAGAGCCAGTTAAGTGAAGAAATAAAACAGTTTGAAAAGAGGCCGACCTGGACCCAGGCAGAGCATCACCAGGAGGCACCACCTATGGGCACCCGTGGGGGTCTGCACCCCGGGCTCCTAAAGCAGCAAGTCAGGCCAGGCAGCCAGACGGCTGGGGACATAGACGAGGGCCAGCGCTCCTGGGGACACCCCCACACGGCCCCGAGCCCCACGCCTCCTCACACGGCCCCTACGACACTAGGCACCAAGTGAGGCAGGGGCTGGAGGAGGTGGACTTGGAGGACCCTGACTTGGGGACCCTTCCTTAGCCGAGCCGCCTTCCCCAGCACCCCAGGCCCAGCATGGCCGTGTGCCCGTCAAACCTGGAAGCTCCGTGGGATCTCCAGCATCTCCGCACCCCCCCCTTTCTCAGCCTCGCTCCTGCCTCTGGCCCGGTTCCCGTGGCCAGGGGTCAGGCGATTTGGGGTGGTCAGGTCTATGGCCTGAGACTCAGCACCCCGACCCTTTCTGTTCTTGGCCACCGTGGGTCCCCACTGGGTCAGCCGGGGGCCCAGGCAGCCGGGCCCGGAGTGTGCTCTGGGTGGCCAGAGCCAGAAAGACAGAGCTTCAGTCACCACTGACCTCTGAGCCCAGGGGCCAGGGCCGGGGCCCTCTGGAAGCTGACAGCTCCCGCCCGGGCCCTTGCCAGCCACTGTGCGGCGGGTCTCTGCGGAAAAGCAGAGAGGGCCGGCAGCACGGGCGCCCACGGCCATGACTCCGACCACACCGGCCAGCTGCTGCCTCTTCACCTGCTTGCGGAGAGCTGCCTCCAGTCCCCACGGCCCAGGCCTGGGCAAAGGTGGGTGGGGGATCTCGGCGCTGGCCAGAGACATTTGCCCAAGGGAGGTCTCCCTAGACATGGGGTCCTGGCCTGTCGACGGCTGGAGGCTCCACCCCCATCCCAAGGCTGCTGTACCAGCAGCTGCCCCCGGACCACAAACCCTGGTTGTGCGGCAGGGGTGGGTGCGCCCTGAGCCCCAGACCCCTCTCTCTCAGCAGGTCCTTCTGTGACCTCTCAGCCCTGATTCTGTCACTAGACCCTCCTCTCAGCATCCCTGCGAGGCACCCAGGGGTGCTGGGGGCTGCATGGGGCCTCCCTGCACCCTACCTGCTCCCGTAGCCCCCACAACCCTGGGCACCTGAGTGAGGTGCAAGGTGGAGGAGGTGGACAGAGGCCCAGGGTAGCCCTGCTGGACACCAGGGCACACTCAGGCCCCTCTCGCCTCCGCCTCCCTTCAGACCCCCACCCTACGGCACCCAGAGGGGACAAGGTGCCCTTAGTTCCCAGGGCCGAGCCGCGTCCTGCCCATCACGTAGCCCTCAGGATGGGTTTCACCCCAGCCAGAGAAGACATGAGCAAGCCCAGAGGTGGCCCGGGCCGGGCTCAGAGGCCAGAGTCCACCCTGGTGCCCATCAGGGGCCTGGTACACCCAGCCCCTCTCGCCTGCTGGGAGTAGACCCAGTCAAGAGCTTGTTGCCTGGGGACCACAGTGACAGCCACCTGACCATGGCTCTGGAAACACCCACTGCCTCCTCTCCCACCCACCCCCTCTACACCTTGCTCGGTGAAATTCTCCAAGTGCCCGGCCACAGGGACCACATGGTCTTTCTGTGGCATCGCTACTGAGCAGCACCAAAGCGGGACCAGTCCCACCAGCAGATTCATCTTGCCGCCAGACCAGCGCCCAGGACACTGGTGCCGAGGCAGTGACAGGGTGCCCGAGGGGAGACACGCTCAGAGCAGAAAGGCCTCAGAGCCCGTGGTCCCCCCACCTGGTAAAGATGGGAGACCAAGGCCAGGGCAGGGCCAGCCCCCAACACAGCACCTGTCTGTGTGACTTCACACTGAGAAGCCCCAGAGCAGGAATGGGACTTCCAACAGCAAAGAAGCCACTGCTGGGCCACCCAGCAGGAAGGACTAGACTGGCTGGAACACAGGGCTGGCCTTCCCGGGTCTCGGGATGGGGCTAGATCTAAGGAAAGGACACAGCAAACTTCCAGGTGGTCTGAGCATGGCTCCTGTGCTGGCCATGCAGGCTGAGAAGCCACAAGCACTGTGTCTGCCCTGGTACAGCTAGGGCCAGGTGGTCCCTCAGGACATGCCCACTGGTGCCAAGAAGGCTGCCATTGCACCTGTCACACAGGGAAAATTCCAAATTTCACAGGTGGCTCCTCAAGGGACTGTTACAGCCTGACCACTGATGAGATTCACCAAAGCCCACTGC